AAATGAACTTAATCCACAAATATTTACCAGTACTGTTTTAGGTACTTTGGGAAACAGTGAAGAAAAAACTCCTTGTGTCATTAGGAACATGAGACTTATATAGAAGGAATTAAAGAAGTGTTGCAAAAAGTATGTGGTAAAACTCTAATAAATTAAATGAATCATGCCAAAAAATGTAGCACAGACAGTAAATGCCATGGGAAATCAGGTTGCCTTCCCTCAGAACAGCAGTGCTGAGTGCCTCTGAATCACTCAGGAGCAGGCACAAGAATGTTAAGGAACATTTGGGCTATACAGATTAGACAGCATTATAAGGGTACAGTATAAATCCAGCGAGGGCTTTCTTCCTCCCTCATATATTTGGAGTAGAATACCATGTATTTATCTGTATTAATTAAAACCTCTCAATTTAAATTAGTTGGGGAGAAAATAAATGGACTGAATCATATTGAAAGTAAAGAAGATGTGCAATTTACTAGTTCTGTTGCTATATTTAATAGGGTTCACTTTTTTAAGCTTTCCCCATTTGTGACAGAACAACAAGACAATTAATCTTTTCAAAGCACATTCATAATGTTTGGTGTGATCATGAAATGAGAATGCTTGAGAAGGAAAAGTAGCATAGAGCTGAAAAAGCAAAAATGTTTTAACTTTAGCAGTTTCTTGTTTGCTTTACAAAATCTAATCTTTTCCTTAGTTTTTCATATTTTTGCATTGGACATGATTATACACGGGAGCTCTGGTAGCATAGTGCCTAAGGCACTTGACTGTTAACCAGAAGGCTGGCAGTTCAAACCCACCAGCCACTCCTCGGAAGGAAGATGGGGCAATCTACTTCCGTAGTGATACTGCCGTGGAAACCCAAGGAGGGGTCACTATGATTTGGGTCCAACTCGACGGCACATAACAACAACAACAACAATGATTATACATATCTGCTCCCTGGGAGTACAGCAGTTAAGCTTTTGGCTGCTAACCTAAAGGTCTCGGCAGTTTGAGCCCACCACCTGCTGATCTGCTTCCATAAAGATTAAAAACCAAAAACCAAACCCATTGCCATCAAGTCAATTCCAGCTCACAGCAACCTCCATAGGCTTTCCAAGGCTGTACATCTTTATGGAAGTAGATTGCCTCATCTTCCTCCTGCAGAGCAGCTGGTGGATTGGAACCACCAACCTTCTGGTTAGCAGCCCAATTCCTTACCCAATGTGCTACCAGAACTCTTTTCCATAAAGATTACAGCTTAGAAAACCCTATGAGGCAATTCTGTTCTGTCACATGGGGTCAGTATGAGTCCAAATTGACTCAACAGCTGCTAATAGCAACAAATGTCTCCTAAATGTATTCCAGTTACAGGGAATATTGAGAAAGGGATTTGTCCTATCATCCTCTTCCCTGTCCTTGAGGAAATGTTTGTTTGCAACTATGCTCAGAACCATGGGCCCAGCAGCACAGTGCTGTCACCAGGGCTGGTGTCATCCAGTATAGTAACTCATGGTGTCACATACCCTCCCATAGACTCCCTGCCATACCAGACCATACATAATCCTTAATAATGTTTATTATCAATCTTAATCATAAAATAATATGATAGATATAGTTATAAATTGCTTAAATGTAGTATTCCTTAGTTTATATAAATATATAAAAAATTGTTTTATAAAATCTTCCAACATCTCTTCTATTATTAGTTACAATATTATTAGTAACTGTGCAGAAGCCTTTTTGATTGTCTCTCCTTTTCCTTTAGCTACTACTTATTCTCGAAACAGTTTTTGATATAGGTTCCCAAATACTACTTACTATAATATTGTAGTTAAAACACCAGAAAATTTGACAAAATTAACAACTATACAAAACAGCAGCAACAAAAACAACAGTGTATGCTTATGGTGTGTGCAAATGAAACCACATGATTCAAAGAGTCATTATAACTGGATAATAATGACAGCTCTGACCAGAGCTCATTAGAAGGTTCCAAAAGTAAAGTAGCATAGAATTTTAGGTATACCTGTGTGCTAGGCTGACAAACAATGTTTTTCCTGTTATAACTACAGGGATTTTTTTTATAAAAAGTAATAAATTTCTATTGAAACAGAAACATTTTATAGACGGTCATTTTGGTGGCACGCCCTCTGACAGTGTCACCTGCTGTGGTCCACACCCCACCACGCCCTCCTAGTGACAGCACTGCGGCAGCGGTTGGGTACCTTGAGTGAGCGCTCACCCCCAGATCTAAACGCCCTGTGGTTTTGAATGTTGGGCTGGTCAGAAAGCAATGCCAGTCCTCTTCCCGACCAACCCCAAAGCCAAGCAGTCCAAATGGCAGCAGCCCTGCGGGACAGGTAATGCAGTGCTTCATCCCCCAGAACCGTCAGTTTCTTTCCCTTTCTGATTCTCTTTTCTGTATTTCTTTACTAACTTCCATTTGAGCAGGCTCAAAGTAGAGAATACGAAGTGAAGAATTCTTTGTTTTTATTTTATTGTGGAAAAAAAATATAAGACAACATTTGCCAATTCAACATTTTTCACACATAAAATTTAGTGACATTGATTATATTAATTATGTGGGGTGGAAAGTTTTGTGTTGTAGAAATTACATAAGGAGCCCCAGTAGCTACAGTTAAGTGCCTCACTGGTCATAGAAACGTTGGCACTTGGAACCCACTCAACCACTCAGTAGGAGAAAGTTCTGGAGATCTGGTCCCATAAAGATTACAGTCTATGGAACAGTTCTACTCTGTCACGTGGGGTCATTATGAGTCCAGCATTGACGGCACTTAAAAACAATGGAAATGACATTCAGATTTTTTGTTTTTTCCTAGCTTAATGTTCTAATTTCTTCACAATCCATTTTATCAAATTGTATCTAATGAGCATAAATCAAATATGTGTCTCCCTGCAATTAGATTCTTGCTTCCGAAGATACTAGGTGAAAACAGCAAGGTGGGGAAGACCACTTAGGTTTTCTATCTGTAGCTGAAAATGCCCTCACCACCACCAAATAAGGCAATTTAATTAGTGCTTTTCAGAAAATGCTAGGTTTCTTGGTTGTCAAAACAGGTCCTTTCAAGCTCATGAGATCTGTTTTCTTCTGGGCCGGGCCCCAAAGAGAACATCTGCTCCACTAAAGATTTCATCTGTGTCTGCAGCTCTATCTTTGTTCCTCTGGTCAGCACCCATTTTTCCTTTGTTGACCACAGGAAGTCAGAGGAAGTGTCTCTGCCATTATCTTCAAAAAGTGTTCATAGGATGCTCTTTTGAAGGTTGTGCAAATGAGTTGCACCTGGTTTTTGCTCCATCAGTGGAAACCTGGGGAATGGGAGGGTCACCCCAAAGTACAATCACCTGGCTGTATCACCTGCCTCCTCTTAACAAGGCCAATCCCTGTCTGAGGACCTTCTAAGACCTTTGCAGTAATTATAGGGAAGGGGAAGTGAGCATGTCACATTTTTTTTAACCAGATATATCTAAGATATCTTAACATCCTCTGTCAAGTATAAAGAAAGAATAATCCATCTAAATCAGTCTTGATCCATACAGTTTCCTTATGTGACTTCTTATATGACTAAAGAAAGATGAGCTAACTCCCTCTTTTTTAAGTAGGTTTTTTTTTTTTTTTTTCCTTCTCTTCTCCTCTTGACCAGGCTATGTTCAGCTCTCTCAAGTTTTAGGTTATATAAAAATAAACTAGGTGTTTTGAGGGCTAACTGCACATAGAATTCGATTAATGTTAAATGGTAATAACTCACATATTATTTACCAACTTAGTTTTGTTAGCAGTAGTTTTATCTCTATAAATAAGATACATGGATAATCTCATTATAAAAATAATATAAGATTAAAAAAAACAATGGGAGGGAAATAAGTATAATCAGTATACTGTTTTAAGATTTAAGTGCCATTTTTATAAAATGGTCAGAGGCCTTGTTTGTATCGGTGTAATTGCATCACTGTAATCCAATAACTCTAGTATAGCTGCTCTTAACAACTTGTCCTACCAGTGCTTTTGAGACTCTTTCTGGCCAGATGGCCAGCACGTTCCTCGCAGTTCTCAGCTAGAAGGATAACCTGTCAGAGAGCCCTTGCTTCACACTTACAATACTCCCACCTGTTGGAGAGGGGGAAAAAAAAAAAAAAAATTATAATGGGTCATACAAGCCAATGAACTTAGATTCTCATGTGGAATGATTTATACACAAAAAAAGCCTCCTACTTATTTAGCAATCACTTACATCAGGTGCTCTTTTGAAGATGTTTTTTCTTTATCTAGAAAATGATTTGGTTTTATAAGCATGGCATTCAGAAGTTAGGGCAGGTGGTTCGGGGAAAAGGCAACCAGAGGAAGTATTCCCTTGTGGCTTAAGAGTGAATAGGGCATGGGGGCAATTTTGAGCCCACTGGGAGGAGGCATGTCAAGGGCTTTCTTCCTTTGATGGAAGAGGGTTGAAGGTGGCAGTGACCTTAACAGAAGAGAAGCCCAGGCCTGATGCCATCCGCCACTGGCTTGTTGTTTTGGAGGGTGAGAAGAGTGGGCACAGTATTTCTAAGGACCCAGATTTGAAAAGGTTCCTGTAGTAGACTCTGTAAGGTACCTTGTTTTTCAGCCATTCAGTCTGCTTTATGAAATAACTGATATTTCCTGGTTGTAGTGAAGTGACAGGATCTGAGGTTTTGAGCAATTCTGTAGATGTGGCCATCAGCTGGGGTGGGGCTGGAGGCTAAGAGCCACAGAAGAGCAAAAGAGAACTTGTATAGGTTAACTGGGTTAGCTCACAGGACAGCTATGTCTTCACTGAACTTTGTTCTGTGCTTCAGAGATGTTACCCAGCCAACCAACAGGGGGACATGAAATTCCCTGTTTTCAGAGACTAAGAGTGATGAGACTTTTCTCATTGAAATCTCCCTTTTTAGGATGGCCACTGACCTGCCCACATCCAGCATAGCAGCGGTAGGCGTTTGGAAGGTCGGCTTACTGATGTTTCCTCTTTTCTCCACAGAGCCTACCAAGGCTGCCTCGGACCTGACGGCCTGGTTCAGCCTCTTTGCTGATCTTGACCCTTTATCAAATCCTGATGCTGTTGGGAAAACTGATAAAGAACATGAATTGCTCAATGCATGAGTCTGCAGCCTTCCAGAGGGGACCCACGAGCTGCTCTTCAACAGCACCTCGGGGGTTAACACGTATAAAGTGATCAGTATGCTGTTTTAACATATGCGTGCCATTTTAATAAAATGAGAGGGTCAGGGGCCCTGTTTATATTGGTATAATTATTTACTCTTACTTGGTATAAAGGCCTTAGTGTATTCTCTGTGTGGATCTAAACAATACAGGATTGTCTAGGAATGGTTTCCAGGCAGGACACTCTACGGCCAACACCCCCATCACTACTGGTGTGTCTCTGAGCTACTGAGAAAGCCAAATTCAAGTCATAAACCTACTTTGTCCTAGGTTTAACTGACTGATCGTACAGCCTCAGGCCTTAGGAGGCTAACCTTAAATGCCTCTCCCTACCCCTGCCTCTGCCCTCTTAGAGGGGCTGCAGGGCAACCTTCTCCTCCTGCCACATCACCTTCCAGTGAGCTCTGGATGAAGTTTGAGCTGGCCAAAGACACTGCCCTCACAGCTTGTGCCCAGTGAGCCATGTGTTCTCACACAGGGGGACGAGCTGGGCTTCTCTCCACTGCACGAGCCTTTCTATGGAAAGCAGCCATATTTGAAATCACCAGTGTCTCCTTTTGTCCTCTCCAAGGCTGGAATCGAAAAGCATGCATTTCTGAAGCCCCTTATGACATTCACTGCTTTGTTTTTTAAATTAAACAAAAAATATTTGACACGAAAGCCAAGTTAATGGAGTCTGTTGTGGGAGCTCACTGCTGTGCTGAGGGAAGCGCGCCCAGGTGGGGCCCGAGGTGAGGCAGCAGAGGAGGGTGGATCCCACCTCAGCGTTGAAGCCGCTGACAGGATCTTGTGCATTCCTTCCATCCCCGCCCACCCCTCAGGAGCTGCCTCAGATCATTCCTCCTCCACAGGCATCCCTCAGGTAAAGGGAGGGGTCGGGGACGAGAGTGGTGAATGGAGGAAAGGGGACTTTGGTTTGATCAGGCAGGGATGGAAGCAACAGTTTTGTGTTTGGGTGCATAAGTGGCTCAGCCACTCCACCAGATAGGAATTAGAGATCCCAGAGCTAGCATCTCTCCTCCTGTGTCACTGAAGCGTTGAGGATGTGCTAAGAGAGGAACCATGTGCATCCACACAAGCCCATACACACCCCTTTAGATGAGCAAGTGGCCGAGTTGGGGGTATGGCTGATGGTCCACCAGAAAGTGGTTCTAAATGCTTATCTGGGCCAAGGAGGTCCCCCCTGGGCTGCTGCAGCTTCAGCCAGCGTATCCTGAATGGGCCTCCTGAAGCCACTCCCTGAAACCCCCACAGGAATGCGGAGCTGCTGCCGCTGTTCTCTGGTGCTGTCTTCCAGGAAGGCCTGGTCACAGCAGTAATCACCACCCTCTACAAGACACCCCAGGGGTTGTCAGCAGTGTGCTCTCCAAAGGAAAGAATTCTGCAGGTAAAACAGGCTGGCAACTCCACCTGTATAACTTACAGCTCACCCCCAGGCTCGGCACCACCTTTCTAGAGAGGCTCATTTGTTAGGGTCTCAGTCATTTAGCAGACTCCTCAGCCTGGTGTTCATGACGGACAAGACACAACCCCACCACCCTCCCTCCACCCACACACATTGACTTGCACAGGGTTGCTTGCTGCTCCTTAACACACCCTCACATCCCTGAGTCTGTGCATTTGCTGTGTACTCCACCAAGGGTGCTCCTGTCCTTACCCTCAGCTACCAGCCACACCTCACCCCACCTCTTAAAAGCCTCCCCAGATCTCACCTTCTCCATGAAGACTTCTCTAAGTGCAGCCCCAGTTTCGTTTGAAACACTACCCCATCTCTCCTGGAGAATTTATTGGTCCCTGCCCTCCCTCCCTGCCCCTTGTGTGTGATACACCACACGTGGCCTGCCCTGCATGGTAAGGCCTGTCCTTCATGCATCTGCCTCTGCCACTAGGAAAGAGCCCTGGTGGCACAATGGTTAAGCACTCAGCTATGGACTGAAAGGTTGGCTTTTCGAACTGACCATTTAGCGATCTGTTCCTGTAAAGCTTACATCCTAGAAAACCCTATGGGGCGGTTCCACTCTGTCATACGCAATCACTACGAGTTGAAAATTGACTAGATGGCACCTAACAACAGCTACCTAACCCACAAAACAGGATCCCTATTGCCTAAATACTTTTCTATACCCCCAGCAATCAGCCCCTTAGAGTCACCTTATAAGCCCTGGATTAATGATTGCTGAATTGAACAGGCCAGCACGGAAAGCAGATTAAGGAGTCAAGAGTTGCATCCTGGGTCACATTTGTCTGCAGTCATGAAAACACAAATGGGCTGCAGGAAGAAGGTGAAACGGGAGGGGCTGACTGGTCCAGCCTAGGCTGGAGGCCCAGAGATCCCTGGGCTGGCGGTGGGGGTCCTTCTATTTGGATGGTTCACTTTAAATACCGAAAGGTTGCATTTTACAATTGACCTATGGAGGGGGATTGTGGTAGCTGGATAGGCTTTGCTACAAGTAAATGGAAGAATTGCACACAGAGGCATTCTCTCCCTGAATTTTCTTTACATTTTTATTAAAAAAAAAAAAAGTTCAATTCCATTTTCCATCTGCAATCCACTTGGCCAGCCTCCTGATCCCTCTTGATAGGCATGTTTTGATCCAGTCTCACCAAAGTCCCCTCGCCCACCTCTCCAGTTCAAGGTTCAAGGAGAAGCAGCTGCTGCCTGATTCTCTGTTAAGGGGCCTGTGTGCTGGCCCCAGCCTGGGAGCTTCCTCCAGCCACCCATGGATGGGACCTGTTCTAAGATGAAACAGCCATAGGTGCCCCATCCTCTTTACACCCAGTCTTGCTTCATCCCATGGAGTGAGGCTGGTCTGAACCACAGTCACACTGACACCCCCAGGGAAAGTCAGAAAGCACCAGCCCCTTGAAAACTTCCCTGCTATTTTAGGTGGCCTCCAAGGCTCCCTTCCCTTCTTTCCTTCCCCCAGCCAATGTATAAAAGATAGAAGAGAGTGAGGCAGAAAAGATACCGTTGCCTCCTTTCTTATTTATTCCCCAGCTGGCATGGGCTTCAGTACACTTTATAGATTAATTCCCTTCAAAATGTAATTTTAGAAATGTCAAATTGTTTTTGAGTTCTGGGAGAGTGAGAAAAGCATCCACTAGCTTCAGAATTAGAAGCACACCAACTTAGCAAGAACTAGCACTTTTTGTTGGACATTATTGCCTAAGAAAATGGGATTTGCTCAGAGTTGGAACACCAGGGAGCCCTCAGTTGTCAGTGGACATGTAGATGGGGCTCACCCATCAGGCTATGGCCAGTCTTACTATGGGTTTGGAGCCAGTGCTTGGGCTGGGCTGAAGGTGCCCTATAAGAATGCCCAGCCATCTGGGTAGAGATGGCATCTGCCAGGCATCTCTTGTCCACTGTTCATTTTCAACTCCAAAAGCCAACTAACTGAACTGCAAGCTTCTCTCTCTCAGAAGCCACTTCGGAGACACCTCTTTCCAGGGGCTGACCCTGGCGTTAGCTCAGGGCTAAATATTAACACTATTAGATTTTTCCCATACATCAATAGCGCATCTGTCATTGTGCTCAACCAGTGTCCTTCAGAGAGGCAATAGCATTTAATCCTCAGCTTTGATTTAAACCACTCTCCCAGTCCTTTAACTGGCATCATGCACAGGACAGTCACGTAGGTCTTTCCAGTTTTGTTGGAAAATAAACTTCAGCTTGAAACTAACTCCAAATGATTGGCAGTGGCTGCCAAGAAATCTGACTTGAAAAGGAGTCTGATAAACGAGTGATGTCTGTGGTGGGTGTGGGACAGGAAGTGTGGTGGCACCAGTGCTGTATATTTACAACACTGCATTAGACCTTGTCTTTCATGGGCTTTAAGAGTTAAGAGGTTTTGGGTTTTTTCCTATCAAAAGTAACTACCCTTCTGGAACTCGAGAGGGGAGCACGGTATGTGTGAGAAAAGTAGAAAGCTCATAAAGCACGTCTGTGAAATGGTAGTCTCAGACCTCACCTAACTTCATGGGGAATAAGGAGAATCAAGATGAGCCCAAAGCCAATCTCTATGAGGTATAAATCAGACATAACTCCACTCTCCAACCTTTTAACAGTTCTGATACCAGCAGTCCCTCCCACGGCACACTCTACTCCTAGGTTTGATAATCCATTGCTATGGCCACACATTGGCGCTCTGGCGGTATACTGCCTAAGGCATTTGACTGCTAACCAGAAGGCTGGAAGTTCAAACCCACCAGCCACTCCTTGGAAGGAAGACTGGGAAATCTACTTCCGTAGTGATGTGCAACACAACGCAACACACTGCTGTAGAGTCGGATCCAACTCATAGCGACCCCTCCTTGGGTTTCCAAGGTGGTATCACTACAGAAGTAGATTGCCCAACCTTCCTTCCAAGGAGTGGCTGGTGGGTTCGAACCGCCAGCCTTCTGGTTAGCAGTCAAATGCCTTTGGCACTACACCAAACAGCCTCAGAAACCAAAGGAGGGGTCGCTGTGAGTTGGATCTGACTTGACAGCAGTGAGTATATCCACACAATTCACAGACCATACTTACAGTTAAGTGGTTCATTAAGGAAGTAACAGGTACAACTCAGGATCAGGATCAAGAAGCATGCATGCAAAATCTGGAAGGTTCCCCCACAGTAGAGAGCACAGCTCTCCCTTATTCAGTGCAGGCTAGCGCTCTCATCTACTCTCAGCCCCCTCAGCACAAGTCTCCTCTTGGCTTCCTGAAGACAGGCCTCTCTGCCTCGGCCTTTCTGCTGTCAGCCTCTCTACTGGTAATTGACCCAGCTCACAACCAGTACAGCAGTTTTGTTCAGCTCTCTTAGCTGCATTCCTAGCAGCAGCTTTCTCCTATCATCACCAACTCTGCCACAGGGCCCCTCCTGGCCTCTCTCAGTCTTCAGTGATACAACCCTTGACCCATGTTACAGCTTAGAGGTTCCTTGCCTCCTCTCTCTCTGCTTTTTCTTTCTTTTCTCTTCTTTTTTCCTTCTGCTCTGTCTGCCAACATCTATGGGGCTGGCTGAATATATATGCAAACTCTTGGTCACTTTCAGGGCATGGTGCTCCCACCAGAACCATGAACTGACTAAGTATCTCACTCTATATCACAGACACTTAATTTGCATTGTAAGCCATCGTCACTTCATAAGTATATTGACCAGTCTCTGTAAGATGTGTAAAATAGACCCATCACAGGGCAGACTGCAGTCCAAGGCTAGACGAAAGGAGCAAACCATCAAGTGGTTCACAGCTTGCCCAGAAATGGCAATTCACCTGAACAAAAGTAACAAACCCTCTGGGGTAGAAAAATAGGGCAAAGGTAACTCATCAGCGGTTAGGGGAAAAAACTCTGAAGCTGTTTCTCAAAAGAACCAAGGCAAAAGGCCACATCAAGAATCTCATTTCACCATAACATCATTACTAAAACCCTATTCAAACTGATTGAAATGACAACAATGCCCCCTTAAAAAAAAAAAAGATGAGTGTGGTACAGTGAACTACTTGATACAGCTCTTCTGGCCATGGTCTTTGTGACTCCCACTAGATGTGTGGGTGAGACTATGCAAATGTGCAGTACTTGTGGCCCATCAAGGGGACTGGATAGCTTGTTAATATAAATTAGGTACACAGTGCCCTTGGGTGGGCGGGATTATGCAAATAAAGCTATGGAAC